TTGGGTCTGGCATCCAGGCTAGATCAAAAGCTCTGCCCGAGCGCCTGACCCAGAAGCTAGAAAGGACCGTCAAGCCCCAAAAATCGCACAAGAAATGTAGGTCTTGGAATATGACTGCTTATTCGGCTCTTCCGATGATCCCGTGTGCAGTGTGTAACATACATGTAAGGCTTTGCATGCCAACACTTTGCTCCTCCCCACCGTAGCGGTTCATGAGTTAGGCGGGCGTAGTGCTCTTGGCTACCGAAGGGAAACGGCTCACGGCCCGATACTAGTCTGGGTCCAAGGGTAGCTTGTCTCGTGTTAAGGAACTCAGTGAATTAAACAACAATCGTTCAGCTCATTCCTACTTGTTATCCGTTTTATTGTTTGTTTACTTCAAGGACTATTTTACCAAAGTGAGTGGACGTGTGTGTGTATGACTGTATGCTCGGGCAGGTGTTGTGGTATTTCCCTGTAAACATTTTTTTCGTTCATCATCGTGTGAATTTGTATACAGTTAACTTACGGGTCTGAATGAGTGATGAATTTGTATGAAAATGGGCCTGGCAAATGTTTCCAGATAGGATGATTTCGAGTTCTAGCTGCCCTAACATCTGCTTGGTTCCCATTCATATGGTAATCAGTTCGGCAGCGAAAACTCCACTTCTGCAAAGGCAGCGACGCGTTCTGCAAGCGATCAGCTGATCGCAAAATCACGCTTTGGCTTATAACTCCAGAATAAAGCAACTTTGAACGGAGAAACTTCTTGGGTATTGAATAGTGTTTGTTAGAAACATACTGTATCAATAGGGACTGTTAAAAATGTCATAAACTTAACTTTTCTAAAATTGAAAAAGCGGAAACTCATCCCCTACCACACCCCCGTTTTCGAGCGCCCGTTCCGAAAAGGCCCGTATCTCGCTAACGAAGCCTCGCTCATTCCCAGATTTGGCCATTTCGCGAGTGGGGAAACGTGATGGGCTCTTATGGGGGTTTTACTCACAATCTTTTTTACTCTTGATCTTGACCCTGAGGCTCGACCTGGTGACCAAAATATCACTAATTACTTAGGTAAGAACCATTTTAGTCCTACATTTGCTTATTTTGACATGAACATTTCCAAAACGTTCGTTATAAGCGATCGAACATGGCCCTTTTTCAGTCATTTTTTTCTACATTTCTTATTCTACAAAGTGTACTTATCTCTCTGAAAAAGGGTACTATTGATAAAATTATAAGACTGCCAAAGGTCTGGAACTACATTTTAAAGTTTTTCATGATCCGTTTAACTATTTTCAGTAGTATTTGTCTACAGTTGGCTTCTTGTATTGTCACTCCCATCACAATTTCGACAATGATTCCTATTATATACATGGCCATATATCAACTTGGTTCTCAGATATTTTGAGTACATTTTAGCAAGAGGAAAAAGAAAGCAGAAGTTTGAAACATGTAGGTAAACCTGCATTTAACTTTATTCACTCCCCGAAACTGTGTGAACCAAGGTACAGACTTTCCCCCAGACTCTGTTTTCAGGTTGACCTTGCAGCTCAGGAATACACATTTCTAAATTCTGAGAACCAACACATGTACATTTGTGTGGCCTACACTGAAAGCTTTGCTATACCCAATTTTACATCTACCTCTAAAAGCAAGTAACAAACTCCAATTAAATCACCATTTTATACAATAAAATGCTTCTTCAATATTTGTTTTCCTTTCCTAGTACATGGTTTAACTCTCGTCAAAAAATACTTCTAACATCTTCTTGTATTAACCACTTCATGTACAATAAGGTGGCAACAAAGAACACAATTGCCATATTTAATAATATGAGGATTGACATTGGTTCAGTCACAAAATGCTCAGTATCAAAATTAATTCAAGAAACAAACTTTAGGGAATCAAAACTTGCCATGGTCATTTACATTATTAATGAAAAAACATGACATTCTCATAATCATAATTCAAATAAGATAATGATTTGCATAAATATACATGTCATCAACTTTTCATTCAGTATGAAGTTGTGAACTTGAAAGAATTGGTATAGAGAAGCTGTGATACAAGTAAACGTGAAGGCAATATGACACAATGTCCTACTATGAGCCTGGTCACATTTGTCAAAGTCAGAGTCATACCATAGATTTAAAACAGCAAATTGAGACTATTTGTGATAGCAAGAAGCTTCTTGGTGATATGAGATTATATGTGACCATGTTGTAGCTGGCTACCACGATGTACATCTATGCTGTCTGAAGTACAGGTTAAGTTATATAGTTTACGGAGGATTGTGCTTTTAAGATTATTTTAGGTCACATTTTGCAGAGCTACATGTATATGTGTAGTGGGATAGCTTCCCTGAGATTCCTTTCCAACATATCCCACACTACCCGTGCCTTAAAACAATAAAGGCATAGGGAGCATTTTGTCTGAAATATAACCCTTGCCTATACCAGCCCACAGATTTATCAAACATAATTCAGTTCTGATAAAACAGCCTGTCCATCTAGGGGCATCAGCACAGGTCAGCTGTCAGCCAATCAGATTCTCCCAGGGCACATGCCCATTTGTTGTCCTTAGCCAATCATGTTGCCTCTTTCAATCAGGAAGCGATGTGATTGGCTGGTAACAAATGCCCCCAGATGGACCATTCATAGGCTGTTTTACAAAGCTACAGGCCGGGTCTGAAAGGGTCTGAAATATAAGCTATATTTTTTTAATAGAATGATTGATTTTGATCCTCCTGTATATAAACATTTTATCAGAGCGATGACGAAGTTTTCTCGTGGAAGAAGTTGTCATCTTTGTACATTCTGTTCTCAGGTTTGTCCAGTTCCTGTTTGGCGACCTCCATATCTGAGTGGATAGCAGCTATGAGTTCATCTGGAATGACACAAATTAATGTTATTAGTATGCCTTCCTCAAAATGTATACAACGAAAAAGTTATTTACTTCACCCCAAGAGAGTGAGCTACATGTACTTTTGTTGTTTTTGGCTTGCTACCTTTGTATACAGACTGAGAGGTTTTGAGTGGATAGCAGCTATGAGTTCATCTGGAATGACACAAATGGAGTTAGTATGGATTACATGCCTTTCTCAAAATGTGTACAAACAAACAGTTCACCCGATGTACTTTTGTTGTTTTTTGTTTGCTACCTTTGTATACAGAGGTTTTGTCTTCAAAGCGTCTGTTTTTGTGTTTGCTTGTGTATGACACTGACAGGAAGTTAGGTCAAAGGTCCTAAAAAAGGGACATCTCATTTAAGTCTTCAATTTCTTGCTACATGTATATACCATGGTGGTCTTTTTTCTACCTCCATGTATATACATGTCTGTTGCCTTGTGGCCTGTTGCTTTATTTCTAGGAATACTTACCAACAGAGTTAAATGACATTTCTGGCCGTATGTATCCGACTATGCACACACTGAGAGTCGCACCGTAGAAATCCTCCTTGAAGTGATGCAGAAGATGAGGCTCCTGTGAACAAAGAACAGTCAGACTCAGTACATCTACTTGGTTTATCATGAGCTGTGGTGCAGACCCATTCAACTTGTCCCAAGTATGCAAATCATGTAAACCTCATGTATGAGTAGGCAGTTACATGTAAACCTTGTTTCAATTTGCACACTTGTGACATGTTAAAATGTTCCCAAACCCTATGTGACATTTTCATTATAACTAGAAAGGTACCATTTGCAAAGCAAATGTGTACTCATGTTTACCTTCGCATGGTCTACAACTACAAACTACTGCTCTGTTTATCCTTGCACAAACACATTCAAATACAGGGTGACACTAATCCAACTCTGTCTTGTAACTTGCAACATTAACCCAACACCACAGTGTCTTCTACAGCACCAGTTGCCATGGTGACAGACGTCTGGTCCAGAACAGACCTTGCTACATGGAAGAAAAAGAAGAAGAAACAGAGCAAAGACAATGTTTTTTCCTTCTACAAAGGTAAACGTAATGGTGAAATCAATTTGGTTAAATCTTGCTGTACCATAGATTTTGTCTTGTCCTTGTAAAACGGGTTCCATCCGAGACTCATCACCATCTTGTGCACCTCCCCCCCATCCACACTCGCCCAGCCGTAGTAGATACCAGTTGGAATGTCCTGGGGGATGTGGTCAACCACCTCTTTAGCCAGATTTGCTGGAAATAAATAACAAACAAATAAACACAACAGAACAGTTTAATACTATAGTAGGTCTTCCAAAACTGAGTTGTTGTATGGAAATAACAATTGAAAGAATGTAAAAAGCAAGGACTATAGGAATATAATGTCCTTGGTAAATTTTAAGTAAATCACAGGGAAACCTTTATATAAGATGAGTTATAGGCAACTGGCGGGTGACAGTTGGCCAATTTGCCTAGACCAATAATTTGCATATATCTTCAAAAACATGTAATTTGCATATATTTTATGTAAACAAAACAGCGATCAATTGTATTCAAAGAGTTCACATAATCATATGTACAATCAGTACTTATTGTAGTTGTATATACATGTATATTCTCTTGGTTATATTCTAAAAGAATTTATGTTGCACATAAAGACAGCATAACCATAAATGACAGTGCAATAACAAGCACAAAAGGATTTAAGTTCAAACTAGAGTCAAGGTCTGACCTTCACAAACTGCTAAAAAGGTTAAATTAATAATTTTGGAAGCATAATTGTATATCCTGTGACATATCATAAACATTATATACATTATTGACAAAAGAATGTCAAACATGAAACGTAAAAAAGAGCATTGATCCTATAACACGCATGTCGATCAAATGGGAATAGTTCATTTGCATATGGCATCACGTTGGTAATTTTTGTAGACGCAATTTCCTGACGCACATGTTAAACGTGGAAAAAATCCCTAGTTTATTATATACCCCCCTCCCCATTGCTATATAGTGATATCCTTATGTACGACACAAAGCCATATCTTGGAGGATAAAATACATCATCATATTTTCTAAAATAAATCAAGTAGACAATATTTTAATGGGTGTCTGAAGTTTAAGTGTATCATGATAACTCACTGATTTTGCAAATCATTTCCTGTGTCCAAGGTTACAAAATCAAACCGGCGAAACATGAATTTTTTGCTGGAATTTCTAGAAGTCAACACTCACCTGTGGGTATTCCTAGTTCCTTACTACCTCTCCCGAACCCATGAACAACTTTCCCTCGGCAGAAATATGGTAAAACACGCGAAAAGTTCATTTTTCTAGACGGTTCCGTAACAGTTTTTGCTACGGTATATGGTTACTATAATGGAGGTCAAAGGTTGCGCAATGCCGGTCGACTATACCAATGGTTCGGGGGACGGAAATGACTTTGACTTTATAAAAATGGATCACAGATCTGTAAACTTCGCTATCTCATAAATATAGAAACTTTTTATTCCTCAAATTTAATTTATTTTTTTTCGATTAAAAGATGAATTTAAATGTCTTTTAAACCACTGGACCAATCTTCAATATCAAACATGATACACCCCCTATTATTTAGTGGTACTGCCCAGAACGTGTCTGCCTTCGTCTAAAAATAGTTTCACATTCGGCTACTCCCATTTTAGCCAATAAATTAAGAAAAAATAACAATAAACTTTCAGAAATCTTAATAATTTTCTTACATTTGCAGCTTTTTTCTTGAATAAAACTATCTTTGACAAAATATTGACCTAGTTGTTTGATATCAACTCTGGTTGGAATAATTGCCAATTTAGTGCTACTTTTACAGTTAGTGCAATTGTTTCGCTGTCAAAGGGGTATGATTTCGTTCAGTTTGGCAGGAAGACAGATAATAGCACTTGTCATTTAACCTTTCGAGAAACTGCATAGAGGAAAAGAGCAACTAAAGAGATAGAGGTTTTATCTGTAGCAGCAGGTGTGTTTTTAATTGTTGCCATTCTTTAGCACTATGTCAAAATAACATGCATGGGAAATATTTGGGTTAAAATCCGTGTTTTAAATCTCCTTGGTTTAATATGATACACATAACAAACAATGAATATACCATACAAAACAAGGCAAATCAGGGATAGCAGACTTCACCCCCTTACCCACACTGCTTTGTGAGCCTTCCAGTCCTACAGACAAATATAGCAGCACTGAGGACATGTTATGTAATGTCAACTAAATAATTTGGGAAATTAAAGTGCATGTACACAAACAGATGCACAGACAAACACAACTACAGACACACCCACACATAAAAAAGATCTTTGTGTTGCCAGATAAATAAAGATTTCACTACTCTCCAAGCAGAGTTTTGGGCATATTTTTGCCGAGTTTTTAGGCTTTTTATCGGGGTTTCTTTTTTGGGCTGGTGTTAACAAAATTCCAGTGCAAGAAAGAAACCCCGATAAGTCCCAAAACAGGCCAAAAATAAGCCACATCCCAAACCTCTGCTTGGAGAGTAAGTTTTTACCCATATCATATGTACAACATTTTTATTTTTGTTCACTGACCTACATTCTAATATAGAACTGATTTTCTTTCCATCAGCCATGTTGGAGGATGGGTGTGTGTTGAAGTGTCGACGTTGTCGGTTGTCCCTGGTTACCGGACACTCGATTGTTGGTAGTCATGGCAACAGTGAAGCCTGTCCTATGGAAGGCCTGTCCACACTGTGGTACATCAGTGATAACCACATCCCTGACTGGGTACAGGAACAAATCACACAGGTAAACTCTTTTGTTTGTTTCACATAACCAGTAAACCGCCTGTAGGCATAACACACCAGTTTCGTACATGTAAGAACCAGCTGCGTAAGATCAGACTGTAAGGTTTGAACCACTCACACCGAGATGGACCCCTACTCTTCGATAAGTGTGGTGGGTTCTTTAACGTACGTGGGGTGTGGCTCTTCCCAAACACGGGACCTCCATTTAATGTCCTATCCGAGGGACGTCCCTAACCGAAGCTAGGTACTAATTTGATCCAGCCGGTGCCATTTTACATTGTGCAAGGACTGTCATGTTTTTTGTTGGTTAAGTACAATTTCTTGTGTTGGAAATTACAGCAGTGTCTCTTGTTTGTTGTTATTCAGGTACAGTGGACCAAAGGCCGACTCCTGTGCCCTAAGTGTGCCGGCCGGCTGGGTTTGTTTGACTTTGTGTCCCCAGTGAAGTGTCCGTGTGGTGACCAGGTATTCCCTCCCATACACATCCAGAGGTGTCGGGTGGACGTGGACAAACTCTCACCAAAACACGTACCCAAAACACAGCAAGGGGAAAAATTACCGTTAAAAATGTGTGAAACAAAGGAGCAAGCCTGCGGCTTACTTCTTACTTCAGAACATTTTACAGGTGGACAGTTAGAAACAGACTCTGAGAAAGGAAAAAGGAGAAAAAACAGTACGAAAGGTGCTCTAGCTGATGGAACGGGTGATGCACCTGCTAGAACAGGTGTTACAGCTGCTGGAACAGGTGATGCACCTGCCAGGACAGACGATACACCTGCTAGAACAGGTGTTACAGCTGCTAGAACAGGTGTTACAGCTGCTAGAACAGGTGTTACAGCTGCTAGAACAGGTGCTACAGCTGCTAGAACAGGTGACGCACCTACTGAGAAAGTTGACACGCACAGTGAGCTAGCTGAGATGGATTCCTCCGTCAGTGATGCACATGTGAGCAGCTCATCAGATTCAACCAGCACTTCAGAGGAAGAGGAATCATCAGACCAAACCTACACATGGACCTCGGTAAGCTCACAGCGCCCCCTAGTGGTGGCAGATGATGATGACAGTTGCCTCCAGGACACAAACCTGTTCCAAGTATTGGAAGGGCTGGACGGAGGGAACACAGGGAGTACTGCAGACAGACGGAGGACCAGGCGGCAAACAAAGAGGGACAGGAACAAGCTGAAGAACATTCGGAAGAAGCAGAGAAGACACGAGAAGTGGGTGAAGAAACAGGTGACTTAACTTGTATGTGGCTAATAAATGTCGAGACCTGTAGAATGAATCGTATATGTATCAGCCCTGCAAACATGTCTTATGTGTCTATTAGAGTTGTGTACCTAAAGAGATTTTAGGTGCAGCTACATGGGTTTTGGTATAGGTCCAGATCTGTGTACCAGTGTACAAATTTGGCCAATTGTTATACCTTCAGCTGTCTTTTTTAGACTTGGAGGAAGATTGTTGTCTTTGCATGAATGTTTACACATTTTCATCTAAAAACTGGTACTTACAGGTGCTTGATAGTAGAAACTGTCATCTTTGAGATGCAATTTACCTATCTTTAGTGTAGAAAATGGTGTCCACTGCCACTGCTGTTTTATTTTGTTCAGGACGTGCAAGTACAGGTACACCAGATGTTCAGTTCTTGACCTGTACCTACTTTGTGAATAATTCTTAGGAACAGTTACAGGTATTACCAGTAGGTGCATAGCCCTATAGAGTAAAACTAACCAAGTCCTACCTTTTCACTATAGACCCAGGAAGAAGAGAATTTTGAGGAGGCAGAGAGGGAAGGTCTGATCTGCCCCATCTGTCTGGACCTGTACTATGAACCCTACATGTGCCAGCCGTGTGGACATATATTCTGTGATTACAGAGTAAAACTAATCATTAAGTTCTACATGTCCTTTTTTTACTATAGACCCAGGAAGAAGAGAATTTTGAGGAGGCAGAGAGGGAAGGTCTGATCTGTCCTATCTGTCTGGACCTGTACTATGAACCCTACATGTGCCAGCCGTGTGGACATGTGTTCTGTGACCCGTGTCTGCGGCAGATCGCTAAGGACAACCCCGGATGTACGGCCTGTCCACTCTGCCGGACTGTGGTCATCACCGTCAACTTCTCTTACCGTAAGTTCACACGTTTTCGTATCTGCCTTTCGTAGAATTTTAACTTACTTGGCAGTACATGTACCTGTTCTATGTGTTAAATCTAGGGTACTAGTATTTCACTCTTTGTGGGCACTCTACTTACATAAGGAGGTGAGGTCTGGAATCTCTTATTATTACCTTGTTGTATCTTGTTTTTATTGCTGAAGTAATAGTCTTCAACTGGTGTAGTATATGTAGTAGAAGGCAACTGTAAGTCTTGCATGACTCTGGGTTACTTCAGAATCTACAATGTACTTATTTTCAAAGCTTTAAACTACAAGCTCATAAAAGTATTATATTAGGCCTTTAAACCTCAGCATCAGTGTGCAATCATGTCTAACCCTCAGAAGACAGGGAACAACTGACTCGAAACTGTATAGTGAGTGTGAGTGAGTTTAAAGTTAAAATTGCATGTGTTGAAGTACTGTATTCCTATCTCTCCCTCCATCAGAGCTGAGTAAGACAATGCAGGAGTTTTTCCCGCGGCATCACGAGTCCCGGCGCCGTGCCGAGCGGCAGTCCCGCCACCGCAGCTGGCCTCTCCCGGGGGTCAGCGGCGCCCGCGCGCTCTGGTGGACCACTGTGACCTCGCTGACCTCTCGCCGCGCTGGCCGGAACTTTCCCCACTATCGTAGCAACGATGATGATCTAAACTACGATGGAAGCATGTTTGATGAACTCCTGGTGTACTTCTACTCTGTCAACTGGGTCATCGGGTTGTTTGTTGTCTGCGGTCTGTGTTATTTTTCCATCCGTTCTTTCATTTTCTGAGACAAGTATTTCAGTCAGTTACTCAAAAATAACCATGATACAGGGTCATTAACATTGATTTTTATTACCTAATCATTGATGTATTTGTAACAGGCATGAAATTTACTAATTTTGTAACAGCATTGAAAACAGAAAAATTGTGCAAGTTGACTTACTAATGTATGTTGCAAAAGCAAGAGTTGGAAATATGTATTTATTATACAGTATAACTATAAGAAGGTACTTTACCAGAATATACAGCAACCAACATTGATAGGTTCTGATTGATACTGCAGCTAGGTGTATCTGCTGCAATATTGCAAATGTGGTCACAAATGTAGCGAGTATTGGCTGATGATAAAGTGAAGAAAGCCAAGCAAACTTGTGGCACAGAAATTCAAAGACTTTTGAAACTACTTGCTACATATGTGTCATCAGGGCTAAATCTGTTTCACAGTCAACTTTCTTTAACTTGCAATAGTCTCTTGCTTAGAACGTTGAAAGTAGAGTACATTTTGTACAACCATAAACCTAACATCTGGTGTTGCAAAACTACTTGATTCTATGAATTAAAGTTTCATACAACAGCTCTGGACCAGTAAGATTTGTTGCTTTTTCTCTTAGGCCACACCAGTTTAATTTGTTGGTTCTCAGATTTTTTTCGGAAAAAAAATATGAAGCAACAGCACGAAAACAAATAAAAACAGGTCTAGGCATCCTATTAATATGATAGCCCCAAATGCTATGATAGGAGCCATGAAGTCAACACAAAAGTCTGCGTTAATATTTAAACCATGAATTTTTAATCTTTAATCAAACCACTGCAACGATGGATGGAAAAACATCTAGAAAGAAAAGGACTTTCCTCAACTGTTGGGGAAAAAATATGAGCATATTTGAGTTGATTCAGAACCAGAATCTTTTTTTTTTGCGAATAAAAAAAAAATGAAGAAGCGAATCCAAGAACCAAGAAATTAAATTGGTGTGGCCTAAACTTTGCGTATCAGCCCAGACTGTTGCTGAATTCCTGAAACTTCTGCAGCTCCCCCTGGCTCACGGTGTTGTGCGCTGCAGCCAGGGACGTCACAAAGTCCTGCAGACAGACGTCACGGGGTAAGACCTGCAGGGATACATGCCGGGAATCTTCAAACAAAGAATGGAATGAAAAAACCCTCCAAGCAAGTTGCCACTCTGCATATATCCTACTGCAACTAGCATACATGTCACTGTCCTGTTCTTGTATGATAGAAGTGAAAAAACAGTCCTGTGTACCTAAACCCACATTCAGGTCCAGGTCTGGGTTCAAGTCCAGAGGTTTACATGTAGGTTCAGGTCTGGACTTGTAAGTCTGGGCCTAAACCCATGGCATATACAAAATATGGATGGGACATCTCAGTGAACATTTCCCAAAACTACTAGTAGACATTTTTACAAGTTTGGAACTATCTGGAACTAGTTCCAGCGAACCGGTACACAGCACTAAAGTGAAATGTTCTCCCCAAATATATGACCAACACTCTCAGACTACTAACCTGGTCAGAAGGCATCTCCCCCAGTCTACCCTGCACTGCTCCTACCTCCTCACTACCACAGGGTGTCCACCGATCACCTGGAGGGTACATGCAACACAGATCAGTGGTCATGGAAAGTTCACTGAGATATCACTGAGATTGTTGCCTCTCAAGTCTTGCATTTGTGAAATTCTCTCCTTGACCTTCAGCATGCTAAAGGAGGCCTTTGGCCAAATTTGTAAAATAATTGATTATGGAGAAGGCAGCGAGGAGAATCTTTACGATACACAGTACAAAAAAGTCTTTTTGTGGCATCAAAATTAATGGCCAAGTGATTGGGCTAATGGACAAGATCTAGAGATCCTGGTTCGATTCCTGGCATTCCTGCCAAAGATGTTGTGTCCTTGGGAAAAGCATGACCAGGTGTAAACAGGTACATGTACCTGACTTTGGTTGGGTATATAAAAGGTGGAAGGAAATCTAGAGGAATGGGCTTCGTCTTCCAATACTGTGCCCTGAACACTCATCAACAATCCACTGCCTCAGTGATCTTTCCTGTGAGGGGTGAAGGAGGCTATTTACATCAGGGCCCACCACCCTTCACGATGGGGGCCCACATCATCTACAAGATACCTTTGACCCAGTGTTGATGTCACACTTTAAAGAAGCCATGTGAGAAGCCTCACTGAGTCAGTCTACTGAGGAAGACCAGAGTGACTGGTTGAAAGCTCTAGGTGAGAAAACTTTTTCTGTTCGATCTAAAGTTTTAACTATAACTAATCCACTGCCTCTATGGCCTGAAAAACACATTGGAGCAACCTTTTACAGAACAGCCCCACCTGTGGTCTGTTTCCAGTGAGTGGCCATCTGCAGGTCTCTGATTGGTTCAAACAGTGCGGCGAGGATGACAGTGGCGATGTCGCTGCCTGAGTACCCGTGTGTCCGGTCTGCCAGCTGGTCCCACTCTCGCTCCGTCAGCCGCACGCCGTTCTGACTGGTGTGGATCTTCAACAGGGCCTTCCTCGACTCTCTACAAACAAAAACAACAATAACTACAAACAGCAGCAACAGGGCCTTCCTGGACTCTCTACAAACAATAAACACAACACTAAGTAACTAACACATTGCAAGATACAAATGATGACATCTATGATAACTTTAACATGTATCTTCAAAATCTTCAGAGTTCTACAATCTTATCAGTTATAGGCAGGGCATGGTATCAGCTAACATCATGGTCAGAACTTAAGAATATACATGTAGAACATAGGGATTTTCTTCTCACTCACACTCACTCACTATCAAGGATTTGATTATACTGCTGGCAATTGAAAAGTTTCTCACCTGCTTACATTTCGATGCCTGTCAGAAAATTTCTTCAGAGCTTCTGACTGGAGTACTGCTTCTTGCCACTAAAGCAAAAGCGCCACCTACTTGGCTACATGTACATCATGGCAGCAAGAAGCAGTACTCCAGTCAGAAGCTCTGAGGCAGGTGTGTGACAGGCATCAAAACATAAGCAGGTAAGAAACTTCACCAGTTGTGTAAGAAGAAAATCCCTGCTATATCCTTGAGAAATTGTGCAAAGGCTATTAACAAATGGAAAGTCTAAAGTAATTTGTTTACCACTAAACACACGACATGACTGACTGAGTGAGTGAAACCCACACCTGTCTGGCAGAGGGACATAGATCCTTCTCTGAAACCTGCGCAGGAAAGCTGAGTCCAGCTCCCAGGGACAGTTAGTGGCGCACATGAGGAAGATTTTCTCAGACAGTGCCGAGGTGTCGGCTCCCTCCATCTGTCGCAGTAACTCTGTCTTCACCCGCCGCGTGTGTTCCTCTTCACGACTCGTACGCTTACGACAGATGCTGTCAATTTCATCAATGAAGATAACCTGTAGTGACACAACAAGAGTGTAAGTTTCAAGCTTTGAAATCAGGGCTTGAAATTCATTTTTGGGAATAGCTGCACTGGTGCACCCAAACTAAAAAGTTGAACTGTAGTGGCGATTTCAAAGTATGTCCTAGAAACAGAACTGTCCAAGAAACTGAACACAATTATATCAAGAACAGTATTGGGGTGACCCGGTGTGATTGGCTGAAAATACAAGGAATGGCAAGGCTGTTTTGCATTAACAGCTAAAAAAATTTGCTCTACCATTGTTTTATGTCTGAAATCCTAGCAGCAAAACTGAAAACAATGGTAGTAGGAACTAAGGGTTGAACCTGAAAGGTTGAACCTGAAAAGAACATTGAACTTGCAACTAATTTTACAAACAAACTCCTAACTCACTGAGGTTCCCTTCCTGTAAGCTGCCTGCTGGAATAATTCCTTTATCAGCCTGAAAGGGTGCCAGAAACACATCAGAGATACCGAAAAATCAGTGTAGGTTCTAGAACAGTCCTCACTTTTCTCTGGTTCAATAGCAAGTTTGGGCACAATCCTCAGATAAATGCCTGCATATGATGATACTCTTGGTGCAGTATGGGAAAAAGGTAAAAAAAAAAACCAATAATGTGCTTCCCCTTCAAAAATTGAAGATTTCAATCAAAGGAAAAATACCTAACCTTACAAAAAGGATTACAAATGTACTGTACATGTCTTGAATACTGTAAATCACATTATATTCAGCAGTGACTGGCATACTAGTACTCTGAATCGATGGCTGTTTTCCCTTTCTAGTAATTCCCCAAAATGGTTCTTTGCAGTTCACACAGTGAGATTAACCTGAAAACTGAAATAGCTTTTTTGCTACCAATTATCAGTTGGTTAGGGGGTTAGGCAGCATGGAGAAGACTTCCACCATAGGCTGTAGACAATGTCTCACTTTTCACTCTCTCCCACCCAACTGGAGATGAGGTCAGAACTGGACACACAGTAGAAAGTGGAGTCAATTTCTGACGACAGTGCATGGGCCAGTCGAGACTTCCCTGGAGCAAGAAAACAAGTTGTTTAGAACAAACAAAAACAAACAAACAACAAAAAGTTCATCTTTACCAGGAATGTTAAAATGTTGAATGTAAAATGAAAACCTAAAGTATTATTCTTCACAAAACATATTGTACCCATAGTATAAGGTAACAGGTTACAGAGCAGTACAGCAGTGCCACCTATAAACAAGTGTCGGTACTGCAGGGGAAGAATGACTTACCTGTACCAGGTGGTCCATACAACAGGATCCTTCTCCATGGTTTTCTTGCCCCTGAAACAATAAGGAATGTTGTCAGCTGAAGCTAGAGAAAATATTCCATTCTACAATAAGGTCTTTACATTATAAGATAATTTATTAAACACTGTAGAAACATACTCTTGATAAGATATAGAATCTTATACAAAGTGAAAAGTGTTGCACAGAATTGAAATCCAAGCGTTAAATCAAAACGTGTACCCATTGTACAAAGTAATAGCTACTAGTACTTGAACAATTCAGCAGTGCCACCTGTGAATAAGTGTGGGTACTGCAGGGGGAGAATGATGGCCTCTCTCAGCGCTTGCTTGGCTTCCTCCAGCCCAGCCACATCCTGGAACCTTAGGGATCCTTTAGGCACGATAGCGTCTTCGATGGAGATCCTCCGGCTGGTTTTTCTGTCATCTGGTTGTTTCTTAGAGACTGTAGACTCTGTAAGGCCTGAAAATCAATGACATAGGATAGTTGAAACTTCCACATCAAGCCTTTATTACTGTTAAGGCTACAGTGACATCTCACTCTCTCACACAGTACGGCATGCTACAGTGACATGGACACCAAAAACCTATGAGAACACAAGAGAAAAAAAAAGAAAGGGGAAAAAATGCCTGAATTTCAAACACATCGTATAACAACAACAAGCTCTTTATTCTTTTTTTTTTCAGGATGTATGTTGGCTTGTTTCAAAATAATATTCACTTAAGTTACTCTGTGAAGTCAAGAGACCGAAAAATTGGACTTTGGCAATCAGCCAGTCTCTAGTGATCCAACATATGATCCAACTTATACAGTTTAACAAAGTAAAACACAGGAAAACACAAAATTTTTTTCCTAGGCCTAAGTTAGTAAGACTCCTACAGGGCTGGGTGGTGTGTCCACCAGGTGCCAGTCTAGTGCTGTTTAGCTGTTTCTGTTTGGTACGTAGGATCTGCATCTGGTAGTCCATGGACCTCAGTAGCTCTGACAGGGCTGCCTGCAAATACAGGATGGAAAACAACATAAATTATGCAAATTAAGACCTGATTTGCATAAATGACCTGTCCCCAGTGTTGATTTCTATCCACACCTATATAATTAGACCTGTCCTTGGTGCTGATTTCTATTGAAGGGCTTGAAATACTGGGTGCATAATTATGCACTAATGCAGGTAAAATTGGAGCTGTGCAGGTATTTCTGATGTCTACCTGCACCTAACCTGCACTGGTCCATGTACTGGGTATATGCAGGTTAGTGCAGGTAAAGTTGGACTGTGCAGGTATTCTGATGTCAACCTGCACCTAACCTGCACTGGTCCATGTACTGGGTATAAGCAGGTTAGTGCAGGTAAAATTGGAGCTGTGCAGGTATTTCTGATGTCTACCTGCACCTAACCTGCACTGGTCCATGTACTGGGTATATGCAGGTTAGTGCAGGAAAAGTTAGAGCTGTGCAGGTATGTCTGATGTCAACCTGCACCTAACCTGCACTGGTCCATGTACTGGGTATATGCAGGTTAGTGCAGGTAAAGGTAGAGCTGTGCAGGTATGTCTGATGTCAACCTGCACCTAACTTGCACTGGTCCATGTACTGGGTATATGCAGGTTAGTGCAGGTAAAGGTAGAGCTGTGCAGGTATTTCTGATGTCTACCTGCACCTAACCTGCACTGGTCCATGGTTTTTACCAACAATCCATGCACACACAACACACACACACACACACACGCACGCATGCACACATGTATGCACACACACACACACACACACACACACACACTGACATATACAGTCACATATTAAGTGCCAAAAATCTTCCATCCTTATACGTATACCTTACATGAGACTAGAATTTGTCCCTTCCCTACATGTCTACAACTGGTCGTTACAACTTATCGAAATCAATGAGAGACACAAACAACCCATCCTTGGGAAAGTTCGCGACATCTTAATCCTTATGGCATAAAAATGAAGACGTAAATCTCCCTAAACCATAACACCAAGGACAGTGATTTAACAACTCATCAAAACACAATCACCAAGTCCTTGGAAGTCCACAAAATATCAATCTTGATGACGCCCAGGAAAAAAATGACGTGTTTCCTGTTTCAGTCCCGCAAAAAATAGGGTCGGTAGGTATGGACTATTTTTTTTCTTTTCGTTTTTTGGCGATCTCTAGTGATCCTACTTATACAACACAGTTTGCATGAGGACACTTATACATTGTATTTCAAATGTCAATGTTAGAAAACTGATTGCACAATGTTTCATCACTCAGGTGTAAGATCATGGAACTAGAACTGGTTGACCAGCTAAAAAAATTTATGTCCCTTGCAGGGGTCTATCCCCCAAAAAAAGGCTAGAGTCGGCAGGTTTTTCTAGGGTCGGTCGGGAAACAGGAAACACAACATCTTTTTTCCCAGGCCTGTTGAAAACTGAACAGAAACACAATCACCAAGTCCTTGGAAGTCCACAAAATATCAATCTTGATGGTATAAAAATGAAAATCCAAATCTCCAGGTACAGATAACACCAAGGACAGAGGTTTAATTAGGTAGGACAGTGGCTGTGGATCAGTGATGGCATATAACGGGTAACATACATTATCCCACAGCCACCATCACTCAACGGATAAAGTACTTCGCTGTTAGTGTCATCCATCACGAGAAATTGCTACTTCCCATGTACCTCCACCACCGCAAGTGTCCGAAACTACTCTACAAATCACACGCCAGCCTCCAGGTGCAGTGTTCGAAATACCTGTCTGCAGTCTGCAATCTGCAGATAGATTTTCAAGATTGCAGAAGAAAAATTTATACAATCTGCAATTTTGCAGAAGGAAAAATTGGCACTTGGGATTTGGCGCTCTTGGCCCCAAGGACAGGCAACACTGAAGCTCCTATTCTGAAACAGGAGCTTCTTCACTAATTTGCATCAACCTTGTCTTGACTTGTCTATCTTTTGTTTCTTTTGGACTTCCAAACATTTGTCTTCACTAATTTGCATATTAATCAATAGTTGATGCTTATAAACCTGCAAGATTGTAGCATAGAGGCTTGTGTATTTGCAGAAAGTATTTCCAAATTGCAGAACAAAATTTTGACTCTTCTGCAATATTGCAGAGCGCTGAAAAAAAGTATTTCGACCACTGAGATGTGTTACACAACGGATGGCACCTATTGTAGCCTGACAGCTTCGTTTAACAGAAGCTGGTTAACAGCTATTTATCAAAGGGGTAAATACGTGCGATTAGGACCACGCGGTGCGTAGATAGAATTGTTCGACCGTCGCCCCTCCATCCATCCTAACTCTAGTTGATAAGCCAGGTTTCCCGCCGAGATCTATCAACCTACATGGTGGAGGGAAGCGTGATCTATCCTAAATCCACCCCCATATGTCTGTATGAATGGGCCCTCACCCCCGCTACAACGTGTCTACTGTTTCTTTTTTCTCCATCCATCTTGCGAGGGTGCATCATACCCAGTAGACTGGGAGTCTTAACCTGGAGCCAGCCCGTCTCATGCAGGGTTGGCAGCTGTCTATCATTCATCACTAAGGGTTTGTAATATTACTGACAGACTGACAGGCTCAGGGATATTGTTTTTACCCATACTAAAACCAAGACTGAAATGGTAACATTTGCAAAGCAAAATGCATGATGTTTGCCAAGTCACTTGCATATGGTTTAGCCAAACAAACTACTGCTTTGTTTAGTCTTACTTAAACACATTTATATTCTTATCTATGGTAAGCAGGCCCTAAAAAATTGTCCTGTAACAAAATGTAATCCAACACCACAGGATGTCTGCTACAGTACTATCAGCTACCATGGTGACAGACATCTGGTCCAGGTCATTGACTTTACTTGCTTGGAGAAGAAGAGGAAGAAGAAGAAGAAACAACAATTATTAGATGTACCTGCACAGCTCTAATTTTACCTGCCCTAACCTTACAATTCTTGGAAACCTAGATCTAAAACTGGACTTATGTAAGAAGGTTGTATTTTACTCCAGAGATCTAATAAAGTAATAACTAACACCTGCAGAGCTGAAGCTAAAGGCCACCTGGTGGTAACATAATTAAAGGCCCAGCTCCTAGTCCTAGAAAAAAACGCCTTCTGTCGTAAAATCGTACTGAAGTGGCCATGGCCTTTACTCTTGTAATCTACTCAAGTTTTTGCCCTCTCTCCCATTTTGATTGATTGATAATGTATGTTTATCTAAATGAAAAGTAATGTTAAATCTTTAGTTCTGCCTGATAGTAAGACTGCAGTTGATATATGCAGGTTAGATCAGGTATTTCTACCTGCACCTAACCTGCAGCAGTCCATGTACAGGGTTTATAACTATGGATTTTTATTTGCTGAATTGACTTTTATCACCTATGAAGTATATAAATGTATAAACAAAATAATGGCAATGGTTTCTGAACAGTTTTAAGTATGATCCATCCTAGGGCGTCCATAAAGACTTTGAAATCTTGACCCACTGAAATGCTATTTTCTGCATTTGGAGAGACAAATTTTCCTGGTAGACTTCAAGCTTAATTCAATGCCACACCAACTTCTCTGTCAAAGATGAAGGATTGGGAAACATTTTTGTCTGTCACAAACAGCAAATTTCTGTCAAATATCCTTAGATGCCAATTTTTGCTGATGGTTTGGGCAAATTTTTGCTCCGTCATGAGAGGCAAAATTCCGTCAAATGACGGAAAGACAGATGCTCCCTAGAACACCAAATCATAGTATGATAAATATAGGTCAGCCGTACAGTTGGGTGGGGTTTACAAAACCGGCTGAGTTTTTGACTGATGGTGGTTCTTCCCTGTGGAATGATACACAGTTCACGGCATTGGAACGGATTGAACTTTTTCATCAACCAGTGATCCCTCCACTTGACAACAGCATTTATCACGCAATTTTTCCACTCCGCAGATTGGCAGTGCCATCTGTATTCCTGCAAACTATCTGAGAGGCTGCTATATATAGCTTTTCAACTTCTTTTGTTGATCGCACATGTAGCTAAATTGAACCCCCTGAAAGAGAGAGCTATATGTCTAGGATCAACACCCTGATACTCTGTTATAAATGTGCAAATAAGATAAAAATGTGAAAACCAAGAATTAGTAAGCAGTAGCATCTTTAAGGTTGCCCCTGAAACAATAGTAAGGTAACATTTGCAAAGCAAACGCATTTACCTTCACATATGTTCTTTTCTGTTAGTTCTTACTCAAACACATTCATATATATGGTCAGACAGGAGTCTAAATCCCTCCTGCTATAAAATTGCAACATGATATAACCCAACACTAGTTACCATGGTGACAGACAGTCTGGTTCAGGTCATTGACCTTTTGTGTTTGGAGAAGAAGACAAGGAAGAAACAGAGCAAAAACAATATGTTCCTTCGGGAAACATAATAACACAATAGAGAAAGAACACCTGTGTCCTGTCCTTGGTGCTGATTGTAGTAGCTATTCTGTTACAAGTTATATAAACTGATTACAATGTAAGTTTTACTGTAAAACAGAACAAATATGCAGTTACAGCTGATGAAACCACCCTGTGGCATTTATGTAAGTTCAATCTATCATATTACTAACACCAGGTGCATGTAAAATTGTGTAAGCTTGATATATTTTAATGCCAACTGGTAAAGTTCAGATCCTATGTAGTACTGCAATCTTACAAAATGGTCAATATGGAAATTTCAGTTCCAACTGTCTCAACAATTAACAATGATATGAACATCTTTTAATCTTATGACTAAAAGTGGCTGTGCATGAGAGCTCAATTATCAAGAATAATAAATTGCTTTACATGAGCTAAGTGTTTCATTTTATCCTCAAGAGACTGAGGCACTATCATGGGTGTAATTAAGAGATATCAAAAGGAATACATAAATACCAGTTGTACAACCATTACCAGTAGAAAGCTGAGAAAAGTCCTTGGTTCGCTGGACAATTATCGATTTCTTAAAGTAAAACAAGTCTCCCAACCCA